GAGTTAATCTGTTTCTCGCACTAAGGCACATGAAGGTATTTCATAATAAACCGTTAGAACTTTCCCCAACTTGCGTCAGGTACTCATGACGGCTGAGTGAACTCTAGCGACCTACCATTCAGCCAAACAGCCCAGAAACTGATCAAAGCGCTGTTTGAACACTTTTAATCCTATACAGTTAAAAGCAAAAAAAAATTTCTTAATGGTTGTTATGTATAGTTTTTTTTTAATTCTTTAAAAATTTGAATTGGAAAACGCAGTTCAATGTAAAACGAAACAAAGAATTAACGTTTCAAATATTTAAAAAAAATTGTGGAAAGCATTTCGGATTTCCTGCTAAAGAAATTAGATATCTGTATAAAAACTAATCTTGTAGAAGTGTATCACTGCTTCATTTTAACAGACTAGAATAGTACTTGACTATTGTTATTCTACTGAATAATGAAGTCAGTGCGAGTCAGGTTAAGTGAAAACACGGATTTTGTTTCCGGTAAAAACGAATGAAAATTGTTGCCATTTAAATTGTCACAGGGGAGGTAAGTGCTTTATTTCTGACAAAACATAGAAATTTTAATGTCGCGGTGATTAACCAATGAACTTAAATCACTATAGTTATTTATCTTGTTTACAGTGTAATGTTTTTGTTATTTAAGAGTGTTATCTAAACACTAAGTATAATAAAAGTGTTTTATTCATTAGAAGCTACACTATATTCGAACTAATGATAATTTTACATAAGAAGTATCTAACTTGTCATTATTTTACTTTGAATGAATGCTGTTTCAGCCCCATTATTTTTTACTTTCTCGTATATACGAAGTATAGAGAAAGTCTTGTAATCATGCACAAAAATAACATGAAATTTTGACAGTTTTCACCGTTTTACACCTGTCTTTCATCAAAACCGGAGTATAGAGGACTTGTGCGTTATCGAGCCGGAAAAACTGGACTTAGCAATTGTGTCCGTGTGTCTGTGTGTGCCTGTGTGTGTGTGTCTGTGTGTGTGCCTGTGTGTAACCACGATAACTTGAGTACCGTTACAGCTAGGTTGATGAAATTTCATGTATAAGAATTTTATCAAAATCGTAGATCCGTATCAAATTTTGAGCGATTTCCGATTACCGGAAGTGGTACTTTTTCTACTTTGAATTTTTCAAAAGCCTATAACTTTAGTACTATTTCAGATAGATAAATGAAATTTCACATGTAAGTAAAAGATCTAAATCTCTACCTTCTTTAAAATCTTGAGTAATTTCCGTTGACCGGAAGTACTAATCTACATGGTTGTTATGTATAATTGTTCTTTTTAAGTCTTTCTTTTTAAGTCTTTCTCAAAAAACGCATGTGAATTTATAAAGTACTAATAATATTCCGCACTATTATACACATCTTTATTCGGCGTTCGCTTGGTGAGCAATTCTTTTTTTTTATGAGATTCTATTCTATTTTAACAAGTTTAAGTATTTAAAATGGATTAAAATTCATAACTATATCGCGAGTTCCCCTGTTGTTTTATATAAGAGTATTCGAGAAAGTTTAAGGGAGATCACTCACGGTTTTTTTTCATCTTTCTATTTATTATAATTGAAGATCTAAAGGCTATTGAATACTTTTACCATAAAGCAGCAAAAAAAAAGGATTGAAAACAATTTTTGTAGTTATGGAAACGCAAAAATCCTCCGCTATTGTTCATTTTTCGGTAATTTTAAAAGTGCTAAGGCATTTTTATTTATGCCCTTGACATTTCAGTATGCATTAAAACTTTTGTGACGCCAACTTTTTGAAATAGCTATTAGTACCCTTTTTAGTATTCAAACGTTCAAAATTTGCAAATTATTTAGCGTATACTTTCTATGAAAGCTATCACACTTCACTCGTGAACAAAAGTTGTATTTTTGCACGAAGAACAATTACTGAAAATATAGTGGGCATTGTTTAATAAATAAGAAAAGTGGTAGGCTTTTTAGTGTTAAAAACCTGCGAAGTGAGAAAAACAGCAAAAAGTACAGGAAAGTACGTCAGGAAAATATCACATCTATGTAATTTTTAAAGCCGATAGTAAGCTTTGGGTCTTTCCGAGGTGACGGAAAATACGATTACAAATACAAGATAAATCCAGCTTTCCAGTGTTGCCAAATACAAAATGATGACGGATATAAAACTTTTCGTAGAGAACTTGTAGGATTGGGAAACATTTAATTATTATTTAATAATGGTATTTTAAACACATTTATTTTTTTTTCTCATCAAAGTTATTTTCTTATTACAAAAAAATGGACAAAGTATCCAAAATTACAATGAACCCATCATGATGAAAAACCAGGAATTTGGTGATTTTTTACTGAGCATACCCCCTTAAGTAAATATAAAATTTCTAATATTATATATGACGTCATAAAAACTGCTCTATATACCGCATAAACATTTCACAAATGTGTCTTTGTAAAATGAATATTGTCTTAAAAGGTTTACATCCTGTATATACATTTTCTATTGGCTAATTATAGACTCATTTCTTCTTCTTTGTTCTTCATTTTTAGTGCTGGAAGGGATCTAGCCTTATCTGCCAGATGGTTTGAACTCGAGTTTTTTTTTCTAATTTATCAACCATGAGCTATTGCCGACTCGACCACGCCTCCATCACAATTAAGTTATGCGCCATTGAGGCCATTGACTCCGATTGCAGCCTTCTTTTGTTTTTGTATTTGCTTCCATAGTCTTTGTCCAACCAAGAACAAACTACAAGGCAGCAGATGTTTTAATTTCGGAGTTGTCTCTCCTAGAAGAGTGGCTGTCCCCAGATAACGAGCCTCATCTGCCCGAGGGTTCGACTCGAGACTTTTCGGTTTTGCAACCATGAGCTACCGACTCGACCACGCCGACCCCTTAGACTCATTTGATTTATTCTTAAAATAACAGTGATTCGGGCATAGGGCTGTTTCATTTAAAACTAAAGCCTATTAAATGGTTCTAGGGTGTCGAGTTTTGTTGCAGTTCTGGGTTGTAGCCCACAGATGAGGTGGAATGGTCGAGGTTTGGGTATTGGTGGCGGTTCGTGGTTGTTGTAGGGTTGCGGTTGTAGTAAGCTGGTGTGTTGCTTTGTTGTAGAGGTTGTGTTGTGGAAGTATGTGTTCAATGGTGTGTTTGGTTGGTTTGTTGTACATGGTGGGTTGTGTTACTTTATGGTTGATGGTAATTTGTTGGTTTGTGGTAGAGGGTGTGTTGCGTTGGTTTAGGTAGATAGTGATGGGTTTGTTTGTAGTAAGGCAGGGGTCTCCAAACTTTTCAGCTCGAGGGCCGCATTAACTATTAGTTCGGGTGCCAGAGTGTCTTCCGGTCATCTCCGAAGAACTTCTAACGTCTTACCCCTCCCAACGATATTAAATTTATATACAACTTGCACACAACTTATCCATCTTACTGCTGTGAATTATTGTAATTCTTGCGACTCTGTGTTTGTATCTTTCAACATCTCTCTGAACTATATATGGATTAGCCCATGTGAACTTATTAAATTCACCATCTTCACCACATGATTCAGTGCACAGCTAATGTCCACATATTTAGCACATAAAGCTTGCTGGTGAATAATACAGTGCAGGGACATTAGTTGAAGAATATTTTTCTCATTCGCTTGTCCAACCTACACTGTAAAAAATTTCACCGTGAAATCACGGTAAATTACTGGCAGCTCAGTTGCCAGTAATTTACCATAAAAATACGGTACCTTACCGTGATTTAAAAAACGGTAACGCGTTTTTTACCGTTTTTAATCAGTATTTTACCGTGAAATCAGGATATGGTAAAAAATTTTACCGTTTAATTTACAACAATTTACCGTTTTTATACTGTTATTTACCTTGAGATCACAATATGGTAACAAATTTTACCGTTTTATTTACAGTAGCTTACCTTAAATTTACGGGTATTTAGCAGACATTAAGAAAGGTTACCGTGAAACCGAATAAGTTCAGTTTATTTATGGTATCTTACCTAAATTTTACAATAATAATAGACTGTAACGAAAATTTGTTACCGTCTTATAATATACCGTTAACCCAAAACGGTACAAGTTTTTACAATTGAAGCCTATTTTCAGCAAGACTCTGTTAAATTACTATTATTTGTAAAGACACTTTCTAGCATGAAAATGTACAGATTTATAAAAATAAGTCTCATTAAATGAATTTATTTTTAAATTATGCTATTAATATATCAACATTTAGTAAAGACAACAAGCCAATGGTTCATTCACCTATTGTAGAAACAACTAATAAACACAGCAAGACAATATAAAATATAAAAAAGAACCAAGTAAGAGACGTATGAACAAAACCATTTTTTAATATCAATAGATCTAAAGCAATAATAATAAAAATATGTCATAAAATGGTGCAAATAGTTGACTTATCAGGAACTAGCAACAAAATCAGTTAACTTCAAATGAAAAACATAAAAAAGGGGAGTAAGGTATATGTGGAACAAGTCCTAAAAAATAACCTCATCAATATTCTACAGAAGTTATGCAATACTTGGTAATATATAATTAACCAATGCCATTGACGAAAAAGTTATATAAATTTTGTTACAACATTTGGGAAATAAGAAAAGTCTATAAAACTTTTAAAAAAAGAGAAAGTGATCAATTTACTCATAATATAACAAATAAGACATGAACATTTTTTAAAAGTGACAGATCAAATCTAAAAAAGGCCCTACTTTATTAAATAAAAAAAGCAAGTAAAGTTACTTTTCATTCAGAAATAAATAAATGTCAAATAAAGTTATATCTGTATTAAAAAAACTTGCAGTTACTTATTCAATTTTAAAAAATCATTAAAGACAGATAAAAAACCCACCAAGTTCTTACATATTTACTAATAAATGAAAGAAATCAACAGCACTAAATCAATGCATCTTTAAAGAAACTGACTTGATTATAAACTTTCTTTTTAAACATGTATTTTTGTATATATATATATCATTAGTTTTAACTCCTGCTAAGAGTAAAACAATACACATTACATTTGTCAGTATTTAAAAATTAACCAGAAAGAAAGTAGTACCCTTCAATAAAATGCACAAACATCATGTTACAGACAATAATTACCTAATGCCTATGATGAGATTTTTTAATTTTTGTTACAAAATAAGAATAATAGGGCAAAAATTTATACAACTGAGAACTTATTAGAGGAATAATTAATTTACTCATAATATAGGCATATATCATAAACAAGACACACAAAATTTGATAGATCATATTTAAAATACTTATTTCAAAAGTTAGCAAAGAAAGTTTCTTTTAAATCAGAAATGTCAAATAAGTTATATCAGTGTTTGTCAATTAGTACAAAAAAGTAAACATATTTACACAAAAAACGGTACTCTTCAATCATAATGATAATAGACCATTAATTCCAAACAATGAATCTAAAGTCCCCACTCAAAATCTGTTACCATCTTTATTAAAGTGTGTACACTGGGAGAAACGGCACTTTTTCTGAAGACTGTTTTTCTGAAGACTCTTGATTTAAGCTGGTGGACAAGTGAATAGTAACCACTGCCTCGTGGAACATCTGCATCACCCATGTCGCAGAAGGACTCTGGGTGCATCCTCACAATGTTACTTGACACCTCACTTATTTGTGGGCGAGTGGGGTTAAGAAATCCACTGAACACTATTCTCTCAACCACAATCCTAACGAATTCTCGCCGCTGTTGTGGAGATGGCCTTTTCCTTTCCTTTATCACCTGAGGGCATTTCGAACACGTAATCCCATTCTCGAAAATGTGTCACAACTTCACGTGGCTGCCTATCACTCGAGGTCGAAGCAGGAGGTGTAGTTGGGTGCACTGCATGTGGCACTGCAGATTGTATGGCTGCAAAGGGAACAGGAGCTGTGAATGTAAATAATATTTATCAGTTAGTAGTAAATAAATTCACACATGGATGAACAGAATAGGGATAATATATGACACACAGTCTTATGAAACCCACATATCTCTATTCCTAGTATAGAAGTTTAGACTTTCTTTGAAGAAATAAAAAGATGAGCTACGCCAAAGTTGGCCTAAAATGTTATAGAGTTTACTATAATCTGATACTTGAAATTAAGACCACCAAATTGTTGTTTTTATAACACTCAGCTATAGTTGCGTGGCTTTATAATTTTTTTTAATTTAACAAAATACTATTAGTTTGGTTTACACTGTGTCCATGAGGCTTATTGCTGTGGCTTACATCTAGATCTAGTACTTTTTTTTCATTTGATAAATATACAATAAACTTATTTATAAAGTAAGTGATCTAAAATTGAATTAATTACTGAGTAAGAAATGTAAATCTATTTTTCATAGAAAAATAAGGGCATATGACAAGACCAGGACTATCCAATAGTTTAAAAATGAAAGTATAAAAAAGATAATCCATAGAAAAAATTATCTTAAGTAATAACAAGAAAGGAAAATAACATTAAAGTGTATGTAAGAACAATAGCTAAAAAAAGAAAAATGCAGAGGAATCAATAATGGCAAAAAACCCTAAAAATATTTTATCGTTGTTATAACACCTAGGCAGGACAAACGTTGGTAATCTAAATTATTCATCAATTTATTTCCCAAAATAATTTGAACATTTAAACATTAAATAAAGATTGGGAAGGCCCAAATAAAGGAAAAGCATTTGAATGTTTGTCCAGTTAACTTTATTAAATTTATATTAAAATCATTGTGATAATCTTTTAATTATAAATAAATAAGAAAATGCATTACCTTCAGTCGTTTGCCAGAAGCTGATTAGTTTCCGGGCCTGGATGATTTTCAGCACAGGTGTCAAGTCACCCTCTTTCACAAGAATCAGGTCAGCCAAACATGTAACTCCAATTTGTGTCAAGAGATCTTTAATCTTTGTAAGGGTATCCTCATGAGTTAAAGACAAAGCAGCTTTGATTGATTCTCCAATGGCCTCCATCAACTCCATGTTGAGATGGTCTATAATATAAACAGTCAAATTCAAAACCGACAAAAAAAAATGAACAAGAAACTGTAGACAAGATAAATGAGAACAAATTCCTTCACAAAATTAAAAAAAAAAAAGTATCACAGATTTTCTTGTACTTTATAGATTAGATATAGATCTAGATCTAGTGTTAAAGTACGTTTTATTGTTTAACAAGTTAAAAACGACTAGATTCTAGATCTAGATCTAGATCTAGATTCTAGAGCTAGATCTAGATTCTAGATCTAGTGAAAAATTCGTTACTGAAGTCACACTTCTTTTTATTAAATTTAAAGATAAGAAACAATTATAACATACCAGGTCTAGTTTCCCTTGAATGTAGTAATGCGATGAAGTTGAAATAAAATGCAGATGATAATGTCGTAGAATAGATTTCCTTAGATGAACAATCGAAGTTAGCCGAGAGTAGAGATGTCAAAATGGCGCTTTGACAAACACAAGTAGGCTGACTTCGTCGGAAACGGAAATAAACTTGCTAATTTTTAATTACTTTTGGGGTTTTTAATTTTGTTTTCATGTAAATAAAATATTCTTAACTCTTCAATAATACTGTTTAATTTGATGTTCAGTTAAAATAATTTGCAGATATTTTAAAATTAAAGATAAAATATTTATTTGTTGTTAATAATTGAAATCACGCGAGGCGTTTCTGGCTTATCTAATTTTAGTCACTCTCCCGCAATGAAGGTTATGACAGGCTACGCGATAGGACTAGCGTATTTTAACGGTAAACGGGATTCGACTAGTCATATTCACGAGATGCTACCGTTTTTTGAAAATACTGTAAATTACTGTAAAAAAATACAGTAATTTACAAGAAAAAAACGTTAATTTTTTACAGTGTAGTCTTTCTTTATGACACGCATGTACTTTCCTCCATCAACAGTCAGGTAACTGAGGTTAGTCCAGGCCAAGTTATAATCAGCGATTATCAGGTAACAGTGCCATACATGTTATGTAGGGAAGCCAGCTCTTGTGTTATTTTCTTGTCTTCATCCACATCTCTAATGAACACGAACAGTTGAGAGGTGGAACAGCTGTCCAGCGACTCATCAATTGCAATTAGAAAAATGGCGAAACTTGCTTGCATTTTTCGCTATTTGATTCACAAAGTTTTCATCAATGTCTACAACACGGTTGGAATATGCTACATTTTTAATTTGTTTTGAATTTTTCCTCAGCCACCTCCAACAAGCATTTTTTTTCGTTGACAAAAAGATTTCAGCGACCGGATGAGAGGACCTCGCGGGCCGCAGTTTGGAGACCCCTGTAGTAAGGGTTTGTGGTAGTTTGTAGTTAATGGTGATGTTGTGCTGGTTTGTTGTAGATGGTGGGTTGTGGTATTTTATGGTAGATGGTAATGTTTGTTTGTGGAAGAGGATGTGTGTTATTTTGTGTTAGATGGTGAGTTAAGTTGGTTTTTGGTTTGGGTATTTTAGTTAGTTGTGGTTGCTTGTGGAATATAGTGTAAGTTGTTTTTGGTTGTGGAAGATGGTGTAAGTTGCGGCTATCTAATGTACTATGTGTGTGTTGTAGTGTGAGTTTATTGTGAGCGTTTTGAAGTAGTGGTCTTGTGTTGTAATCGTGTGTTCTTAAAGTACTGTGTCGGAGAGATGAGTGTGTGGGCGAGTTGAGTGTGTGGGAGAGGTGATTGTGTGGATGAGTTGATTGTGTGGGTGAGTTGATTGTGTGGGTGAGTTGATTGTGTGGGTGAGTGATTGTGTGGGTGAGTGATTGTGTGGGTGAGTTGATTGTGTGGGTGAGTGATTGTGTGGGTGAGTGATTGTGTGGGAGAGGTGATTGTGTGGGTGAGTTGATTGTGTGGGTGAGTTGATTGTGTGGGTGAGTTGATTGTGTGGGTGAGTGATTGTGTGGGTGAGTGATTGTGTGGGTGAGTTGATTGTGTGGGCGAGTTGATTGTGTGGGCGAGTTGATTGTGTGGGTGAGTTGATTAGGTGGATTATCTGTGTGGGAGGAGATGGCGTGGTTTAGGGTTAGTGTTTGGAGTTGGGAGTAGACTGTTGAGGTAGGTTTCATGTAAGATGGGTTAGTAAAAGATAGACATAAGAAATCAGATGCAGCTGGTGTTGAGTTGGAAAACGAACATTTTGTTTAATTAAAAAAAAAAAAAAAGATAACGAGGAAACGTGTTCGCTTATAACTATTTTAGTTCTGGCGGGTAGATGAAGTAGAGTTAACTTATTAAACTGTATTATCGTAAAGGAAGTTCTGAAATAATAAATCGTTCGTGTAACCCTTAGAGTTATTTACAAGTCCAAGAGGGTGGGGATTCGTGATTAACTATTGAAACTGAGACTTTTTAGACAACTATTTTAGTACAATAATTATTTTAAAAACTTACCTCTAGTAGATGTCATCAAGACTTAAGTACATCCAACCATTCTTTGAATTAAGCGAGTGAAAGATATCACAGCAGGAAGATGAGCCATGTATGTTGTATGCTGTTGATTCGACCGATACTGTTGTTTTAATTGTACATATCGTACATTATTATAGTTTATTTCAACTTTTTAAAGTGTTGGTTAGCATTTGAAACTTTATCCATCACGCCACACGAAAGTAGATAAAAACATATTTTTTACATTGCGACATTATTCCCCGAAGTCCTGTTAAGAATGTCTCTCAACCCTAAATCCCGTCGTAAAATGTGAGAATGAAGTACCAATGTAATGTTTACCCAATGATCTGACTTCAGGAAGTTTTGACCAGAGAACTGATTACAACTCACCATGATTCATCACAACAGTGTGTATGTGTGTCAGTAATTTACACACCTACACGCGAATCAATTAACCACTAGAGCACAGCATGTTTCTGTTGTTGTGAACTTCACATTCAATTTAATTAGAGTCTTAGCATTGATTTTTTTTTTACAGACACTTACTCTATTTACTGCACGCTCAAGAACAGATAACTCCAGGGGCTAAAGTTATTGCCCATTTCTTCATACTATATAATGTTCAATATTCAATAAAGAAATCACAACAATTAAAAACCGTAAAAAATTATGATTTAAATACGTATTTGTGCGCTTTAAATTCCTAAGATGGTTTAAAATATTAAATGTTAAACAATTTAATTCTTAGAATAGTTTCAAAAGAAGGTAATCATTAGTAAAACAAATTACTAATTAGTAATTCCAATACTGTAGAGTTAATGTAGATGTAATATTGTAGTAGCAGTCAACAAGCACTGTTACAGAATCTCTATTCTAAAGTAAAATGCCATGTTATTGGTGATTCTACGTTTAACCTAAGTATGTTGATATGCCTGTTATTTCTAACTTAATTGACACTTCACAATTTACTGCCGTTATATCCACATTTAGATTTGACTGATGATACACTTTTTGTTAACTTTAACTTGTCTCACTTTTCAGAAAGTTTAAAGAAACATATCACAACTTTAACGCAAAAAAACAGATTTACAACTAAGGTCTATGTAATGAACATAAATCAGTCTTACTCTGTGCGATCTATGCTTTGAACGATATACGCAATCCCTTAGCTATGTAAACTACACAAGAAATTCCCTCATGCTTTAAATATTCAATGAGTTTACTCTAAACAAATCAGTCTTACTCTGTGCGATCTATGCTTTGAACGATATACGCAATCCCTTAGCTATGTAAACTAAACAAGAAATTCCCTCATGCTTTAAATATTCAATGAGTTCACTCTAAGCAACAGTTAACCTGTGTGAAGCACTCAGCGCTACTGTTGATAAACAAACCAGCCTTTACTTGTTCAGCTATGCGCTTTCTCAATAAGTTCTCTCTTTACAACGACGTAACCTCTGTAAACTAAAAAAAAAACATAACCTCTAACAAAGATTCACACCTGTCCTCAAAAACACAAAGAGTTTTAAAACACCAGTTAAATCCTAACGCGAGTAAACAACCCAACCTAAGCTGCGAAAAAAATCAAATCCTAACGCTAATAAACAACCCAACCTAAGCTACGAAACAAATCAAATCCTAACCTCAATCAAGCAAACCCTAAACTCTGTAACCAAACAACAAGGCGGTGAAAACAATCTCGTCACGCAGATTCCAGCCGACAGACTGACAGTATCAGACAGGCTGCCCCATACCACAGGCAGCGCGGGCTCTGGCACCCCCCACCTCCCCACCCCGCCCTTCTGAGAGTAGTTCCAGAGTTTCCTCTGACGACGTGCCGTACTGCGACGTCTGTCAACGACGTCAGATCGTCGTCTGTCGTGCCGGGCGGCTATCAGCTGTCACAGTGACGACCTGGGTAGGGATCAAAGGGGTCACTTTAGGGGTCACAGTCACAACCTGAGTGGGGATCAAAGGGGTCACTTTAGGGATCACAGTCACAACCTGAGTAGGGATCAAACAAAGGGGTCACTTTAGGGGTCACAGTCACAAGATGAGTGGGGATCTAACAAAGGGGTCACTTTAGGGATCACACAGTCACAACCTGGGTAGGGATCTAACAAAGGGGTCACTTTAGGGTTCACAAAGTCACAAGATGAGTGGGGATCTAACAAAGGGGTCACTTTAGGGATCACACAGTCACAACCTGAGTAGGGATCAAAGGGGTCACTTTAGGGATCACACAGTCACAACCTGGGTAGGGATCAAACAAAGGGGTTACTTTAGGGATAACAGTCACAAAATGAGTAGGGTTCAAAGGGGTCACTTTAGGGATCACAGTCACAACCTGAGTAGGGATATAACAAAGGGGTCACTTTAGGGGTCACAGACAGCAACCTGAGTAGGGATCTAACAAAGGGGTCACTTTAGGGATCACACAGTCACAAGATGAGTAGGGATCTAACAAAGGGGTCACTTTAGGGATCACACAGTCACAACCTGGGTAGGGATCTAACAAAGGGGTCACTTTAGGGTTCACAGTCACAACCTGAGTAGGGATCTAACAAAGGGGTCACTTTAGGGTTCACAGTCACAATCTGAGTAGGGATCAAAGGGGTCACTTTAGGGTTCACACAGTCACAAGATGAGTAGGGATCTAACAAAGGGGTCACTTTAGAGTTCACATAGTCACAACCTGGGTAGGGATCTAACAAAGGGGTCACTTTAGGGATCACACTGTCACAACCTGAATAGGGATCAAAGGGGTCACTTTAGGGATCACAGACAGCAACCTGACTAGGAACCAAAGTGGTCACTTTAGGATTCTCACTGTCTACAACCGTTTGCATGCCCTGTAGTCATATACTTCACGTTACTCAACTCCCACAACCCTGTCCAACAATGACCTCTCCAACAGTGCCTTCTCACAGTGCCCCCCCCCCCCACTCTACCCTCCCTCAGTGCTCTCCCTTACCTGCCCTCCGCCCAATCGTTAGTCTACTACCTACACTCAGACATAACACGTAGACATCTGTGAAACAATGAACCACCCTATCACACGACCATACTGTCAGCTGTAATGGAGGTGTCCACTGATACACGACTAGAACCTCTAACCCGACTATTTAATTCTACGTGCCTGCCCTTGTAAGAGCGCTATTTACGTCTTACTTCTTAAAGCGTTTCAAAGTGCGTTCACTGCTTCTTTTTTAATTTAATCCTGGGATCAGCCAATTTTTCCTGCCAGAATTCAGTGGCCATGTTCATTTTTTGTGGCTCTAAAAATGTGTTCACATTTAAACGCCCGGCCTTGTGTTTGATGGGTGT